AAGGTCGGTTCTAGCTGTCAGCAAGGGATCTGGTACCGTTATTTGAGTGGTATTCTCTATTGTTACGGGCAAACGTAACATAACCATTAAGCGTAATTTGTTAAAATATGCGCCGAGATGTTTTTTGTAATTAAAGTCCAAAATTTGCAAACTTCAATCCAGCTAGTTAGTTGAGATTGCCTCTATGTTTTAAGGGGAATCAGATGTATGCGGGAAACTACATCGAAATTGTATAATTTATACAATTCTCATCATGTCGTATATGGCGCGCGGCATGAAATATTCACTTAAATCATACTTACTTCCAAAACGACAGCCCTCAATTTTTATCTCTGTTATCTAAATTACATTTATGTGCGCAACGATTCTGTGATTAAAACTTCTGAATGCGTTTACAACTCAAAAAATGAGGATTTGTGGTATCAACCTAACTGACGTGACGATTTGACAAATGTGATGAGAGTTTGTGCGTTCGCCAAACGAGTCCGTTTTAACAAAACAAACCACGTTGATTGTTGCAAATGCCTCCAGGAATGATGCATTTTAAGTGCTATCATCCTCTAATAATTCGAGCGTGTTGACGTGAGTCCGAAGTCTACCGACTGCTGCTGTTTGACATCAGAACTGTCCAAATTGAATTATCAGGCACTTGTTTGAACTCATTTTAAGGATTTATTGCCATGTTTGGTAAACTAACTCCCTTTGTACAAAAATTATTTTTGGAAGTTTAAAAATTTTGAACTACTCAACCACCAAAGAACGATTGCATCTTCCATCCGCACAATCAACCACGATTTCTAAGTTCTGGTGGTAACATTAAAATGTTGTTATCAATAACCTTCAAGATGAATGCATTTGCACTACTACTGGTCTCGTTTTTAATGCACTGCTCAATAACACAAAGAATCCAAGACTTTGTTATTTCGATGATCCAATACCATATGTGCTGACACATGGTACCCCTGAACAAGTACACGTACCTACTAGTGCGTAATTTCGGATAATTGCGTAACTTTAAACATGATATCGAATGACACATTCCTGAAAATACTCAACCTGCGTCACCTTTGTTCTCCTCAATGTGGCTTTTACGTCCAGCAAAAACTGAAGGTTTTGGATGTGCTTTATTTACAGAAACAACTTTTTCGCATCTATTTAAGAATTTTTCTGTACAGGTTTATAGAAGACATTACGAGCCGACGCTTTATTTAACTTTGGCAGCGACAAAAAGTCGATTAGAAAATATCAGAGACCTGCCCTAGACCTGCGGGATATCCCATGATGAATATAGATGATTCACACCCATCAGCTCTGAGGCCGCATACTCAGACGCCCTACCTGTCCCCTTAGCGACACTTCGGATCATGAACAGCTAAACATGAACGCCCCCTCCTCATCACTCTGACGAGGCACTCAATCATTCAGATGTTTGTGCATTCGCTAGTCCGTCCTACTTTTATTGGTTAACTGCATCCATCACTCACCTTCCTCATGCGCACGTACGCGACTTGTAAATTCGCACGACTTCGTGAGCACGTGACATGACCGACAAATGGGAATGGAGCATTGCGTGGACTGCAGAGTTTTTGTCATCCACCTGGGTATCTGCGTGGTGTAACCGGGTCAAGACAACACGAAAGCCTCGCTGGGATTTGAGACTTTTACTGTCGACTTTAAAATTAAAGCAATTGTCAAATTACGAAGCCTAGGAATCTCTCCACTGCTTCCTTTGGTTGCCAACTGTCTCGCATCAAAATTAATTCCCAGGTCACTTTTAATTTTCATTTCGAAAGGTGAAAGCAGGGCGACGAACGGCGTTTTTACTCCGTTGACCACTTTGAGACAACGACTAGCTCGTCAACCACATAAAACACACGTCAAAAACGAAGGCATACTGACTTACCCCTCGTACACTCCAGCGCGGATGTCCGTTAATTTAACGGAGACAAAGGGCTCACGGAGTCTGTTGGCTTTGAGAACCATCAGTCGCACAGGCGAATTACGCTCAACTTCGGCTAAGTGCTTTCGCACCTGTGGTTCATCAGCCATTGCTTGTTCATCCCCATCCTCATTGGCTAACATGTGCGCCGTCAGGTTGGTGCCGGCTAACGGGTACCCGGTGACCAGGCATGAGATAATCAGCGGGCGTCGGGTGAGAAAGTACGTCGATTGATGCGGCTGAATGGTGAGGCTGGGCTCAGACCGGACACGCAGATGTCCAATGTGCTGCACTTGGCCGGCAGCGTTGGTTACTCGACATCGGTACACGCCGTGATGCTCTCGTAGGGCCCCTACAATCCGGAGTTTACGCAGAATTCAAATATAACGACTGAACAATGTAAACTCTCCGAGAAGCAGGAATTGTTCTCAGAATTGGTTGGTACAAAAGTGTCTTCATGGACGCAGAAGTTTGTGAGAATAGTGAGCCCCCTCGACATCTCCCTGTCAGTGCACCAACCCACGAGAACCAAACCACCCCCATTGGCCAACCAGCTGCTCATCGTCAAATCAGGCGACTTCTATGCTGTTATTTGCGCATACCTCTTACAAACTATGGCATGTCCGTGTTGTAAGCTAATCTGATGATTCCTAACTGGGCGGTACTGAAGGGACCTATCATCGACGATTTTTTGCTAATTTATTTTCCTCATTTCAGAAATATGAGCGGCGATGCAGGTATTATTATCGTACGCATTTGTGCAAAGATAACTTGGTCGACATGGCACGTCCAAATTTGCACTCGTGATTAAGAGGCGCAAAATGAAACAAGGAACAGTGCAACATTATATGTACCTTGGTTTTAGCAGTAATGTTGTTAATAAAGCCATGTCAACAAAAGGCATAATCTAATGTTTAGCACAGGGGACCGGAACTTGGTTATGGGGAATGCTTTATAGGACACCTATGGAACCTCGAAGAACGACACGGCGAGGTCTACACAACCATTAATTAGGCAACAAGATCCCTCCTTTTGGAGTAGCGATGTGTTTCGGTGGAGATTTGTTCCAAGTGGTGGATTTTAGCCTGTTATGTGTAGCGGGCCCCGATGCGGTTTTGGAAACCACAACAGGGCCGGCAATATGCGCTGACACGGCCTAACCGAAAGAAGGAGTGAAAAATTCAGGTGGCGCGTCGCTCAACTAATTTGTCAAAGCAGCCAGCGGGGTGTGTGTACGGGGTAGCAGGTGCGTTTATGTAGTTCTGTTAAGCATCGATCTCTGAACGAACGGAGTGGAGGGCATTCATGAAAATCGATTGAGTCGTGTTCTCTTACGCTTGCTAATTGCGTTCGCTCGCGCCTGCTGCCTGTGCTCGCTTGCTGCTTGCTACACATGAAACTAACAATTCACCTGCATCGAGTATCGGCGCATAAGGGGAGTTTCACATCTCCTGGTCTGTGGGATGGTACAATTGTTGATTAAGTGCACTTGTTAATCACCGAGAGAATGGTATGCATTGAATGAGAGTGAGATCATTTTGACCCACCAGCGGTTTGAGGGTAAAATATAGAGGCTAAGTAAGCGTTTGAGGAATGACCTTATGAATACCACTTATTCTAAGGGTCATTCTCAGTTAGGGGTTCGAAACCATTCCCGGGGCCTTGAGACAAATGTTGACGGATCAGAACATTTTAAGGTTCTTCGTTCTTTGGTAAGTTGAATAGTAATAAATCAAAATTTGCTGAAGTCGCCGCGTAAAGTTGGTTCACTGGTTATTTTCCCCCAAAGCGTTTTGATGTGTCGCTGAGCGTGAATCCAGACATCAAAAATAAATTGTTATTCACACGTTTCTCGACCCACTGCCTTTTTCGCCAATTGCCATTTTGTGAGAAAAAATGAAAGTATATTAAAAAGGACCAAGAATTCTAATGCCTAAATGCGATTATTTATAGCCCCTTAGAAAACAATGCCAGACCCTAAGTTGACCCATGGACGACGACTTCATATTCGTTAGTAGTATTTTTTGAATAGGTATCTTACACAAAGAGTACAACTGAATTGTGGCAGCCAATCAAACTTCTTCACATGAATTTTATTTCGTGTTGAATTTTGGAGAAATTTTTTTAATACCTTAGTACGTATAAACAGTACCTATTTCAAAACTTTTCCTAATTTCTTCCGAAAAGGCAACTAGTGATAGTGTTAGCCCTCGCTACCACTTACTGATAAACTTTAAAAACTGCCTATGTTAGTCATTGTGTTTCCCCAAGTTACCATGTCCTGTTTGTACTTTTAAATTTAGAAAATAAAAATTTGCATCCAGTGGCGGAGGAGTGGTCTTTTCCTGGCATTTTCGAAATCAGACACATCTGAACAATAACTAGATACGTACATTATGCTGTTTTCAGCACAGAGATCATGCAAATTCAAGACGGGTTTTCTGAGGGGGAATTCCAGATAGCGGAGGTAGAACTGTTAATTTATCGTGTGTATCAAGATGCGACACGTTCAATGCCGCATCGAAGTTTAGCCGGATAATGGAACACCATGTGCGCCTAATCAAGTGAAGTGCTTCAAAAAGGGAATGTTACGACACTGGGCTCTCATGTAGGTACCGAACCCAGTTTCCAAAGTTGTGTTAGTCGTACTCACAGAACCAGTGCATTAAAAGAAAGTGTGCTGAAATTAGTGAACGGCAACACTCCATTCCTGCTGGAAACATCCCAGCTACTCGTGGACGAGCATAGACAGCTGAACAGTAGCACCCTAACATCTTGTGTAAAACGTATTTTGTGATGCACGTGGGTTATTTTAGGCGGCACCAACTCATTAGTTCTGGAATATTGCCTAACTGAACTACTCGTTTTAACCTTCGTGGCCACCTAAGCAAAGTGGTAGGGAGGCGCTTGCTCTGTTATTAAGGCACCTTGAAGTCGGTTCCTTTAAGCTTTCAGTAATTAAATCAGGTCAACCCTCTGATAGCCTTGGCGTTTAGGCATCTTTATGACTTTTACAATCAGTCCTTCCATGACCTCATGGCTGCGCCTTCTTACGTGAATTGCTCTGGATAAGGACTTTTGCGAAAACATGAATATTTTGGCTTAAAACAATGATTAATTTAGCCTCGTATGACACCTGAACCCCGATCAAATAACCGAACTCGGTGGACTACACAACTGAATCGCTATTTTGAAAAGGCCATGGCAACTCATGTTTAGAGAAAGCGACAAATGTGGAAATAACCCAACCGCTGATATATACCTAGAATTCTAAAAAAATTGTTACAGTCGTTTGAGTAGACAAGGTTATTCTCAGCATGATAGGATTCTGGTAAAGGGGCCATCTTATCACAGCTTAAAAACCCGTCCGAGTTTTTCGAACATCCAACCTGCTCCCATGAATTCTAATCTTGCGGTTTGGTCGCAGGCAATAATTCTGATTGGTTATATCCACATTCGGACTTAAACGGCGTTCTGGTTGGTTATAGGTGTTACGGAAAATGGCAACTGCGTTGCAGTGAAGTTTATCCCGTGCGAAGAGTGACTGACATTTTCACGATATGTGGGTTGGTGGTTTTAGTGCGAACTTACTTCGTACGACGAACGACAGATTTCAATACTTCAGGGAGTTTTCCATGTGAAATAGTATTCCCCAATGAGCAGCGATTCGATCGGAGGGTTCGGAATGAAACTAGTCGCCCTTAGCTGTTTTACATCCAAGCAAAAATCATGTCAGCCACTCCATCAGTCACAAAAAAGCGCATCCACCCACCGAAATATTCGCACGTGGACTTATTGTGTGATGTCTGTCCCAAAGTCAACTCTTCTCTGTGGTGAAGGGACGGACACCGCGTTACAAATACCTTCAGCAGATTGTACCCCGAAACTATGAGAAGATTAGCTATAAAATTAGCCCATAGTAAACACACGAGCATTTTCAACGTCAAAGTGAAAGCATCAGTCACCATTCAAACGGAAAACTACCTAAAGTCTGTTGTGAATCGTGTTTATTCAACCCCTTAATCCGGTCGCTCCACCTCCTACACAGGATTTCCCTTGTTGCAGCGTGTTGCCAGCCGAGCGGATCCTCAACTCCCCCCTCATTCACGCAAATATTTATCTTGGAGCATCCCCACACGTAGGTCTCGATGTTAGTGCATGTATGACTCACACACTCGAGGTATAAATACACACGCGCAAACCCCACACACGACACAACGACACCAACGAGGTTGAGCTCTGAAGTAAACGGTTGTGCCTACGTCCTCACCGGTCTTTATCTTCATCGTCTGTGGCAGGGCAGCGTAATCGGGTCCGAGTTAATTCAGCGGCCCCGGCGTAGTTCAAGACCACATGCTGGGGCCCACAGCAAGTCAGTGTTGTGGCTTATGTTCTAAATCACAGATAACCCATTCAGGCCACAAGGTGAAAAGCTTTTGGTTCGCTATTAGTCATCTCCCGTTTTGGTTCGTTGAAGGTATTTTAGTTAAACCCAAAAAAAAGCCTTCACGTTGAAGCCACATTTTGTTAAGCTGACGTAATCGCTAGCAATTATCCCTACTGAAAATTTTTATGCGGAATGCAGAATTAACCCTATTGAAGCGTGTGAATGAAAAGGCATGGGAGCACCCCAACTACAAAAATGAACAAAATGAACTCGCACCAGTAGACAAAGTGAACGTAGGACTGCCACTGATGCCGCACATAGGCTTTGAGTTTGCAGGAATGGCGTCTACGCCTCATCCTTGTGTCAGTTAAAGTGCGGATGGATTGGTGGAAAACGCTTGAAACTCCTGAGTTAGTTCGTCCCACATGAGCAAAGCGCATACTGCTCACCTCGAACATCGACAACCAGTTTATGCAGCATGGGCTTCTGAGGGTCGGCCTGAGGCTGGTGCAGCTTTAGCCGGTACGACTCAACAAGCGGACTCCAGCCGGCGGTTTGAACGTCTTCAGGACTACCAGTTTCCAGGGGATCGCTTTGAGACTCGGCAGCAGAAGTGAGGAACCCCCAGGGACGTCTGCCCACTTTCGAGCTGAAGTCAATCGATATGTTGGGCCTCCCGTTTGCGATGGCAAGACATGTTAGCTGAACGTAGTCGCCAAGAGAGACCTCTGCAGACATTTCTTGGGTCGCAATAATTCGAGGCTGGCGAATAACTTCAAGGACCAGACTGAAGGGGGGGAAAACTTGCATTTATTTATGTACACACAAATAAACCCAAGAGGGTTTCACGATTCACACACTAGGCAATTCAAAAATGTGCGTGGTACAATTACAACATGACTCCAATTATCGGATTAAGCCCAATCTAGAATCAAATGAGTAAGATTCATGTTGTATGTGAGATTTTGACGGAGCATTGCCAAGTTGTGCATGAAAGAGTTCAGTGTACTTGTGTGGAGCTGCCACCTTGGTTAAGATGGAGCAAGAACAGTTTTATTCCATTAGGTTAGTATCACAAGTGTACAAAGACCGTTAATCCTAAAAAGCTTGTATCGCCTGTTATGGATTAGACTGAAGAAAAGCCTCAAATACTTAAAAGCACAAAAATAGCAGAAATTACAAAAAAGATGGCGCATTACGGTGCAGTTTCGAAAGTGAAGGGGATTTCCACCAAAAAGATTACTCATGAGAGACGCACCAGTTTATTTGGACCCCAATCAGATATAGTGGGATTAATATAAATACTAGATTCAACGTTAGGGGAATTTAAGACTGTAAGAACGTCTTATGAAGTTTTTTGCTCTATTTTTTAAAGCGTGTTTCCGTACAGCAGGCTGCGGTGTACACCAAAATTTTATGACATTTTAATCTTGTGTATATTAATTCTATACCAAATCACTGGGTCATAGTTCACTTATATTAATGTAAAATAGTACGTCAAAAAAAGAGAAAAATCCGTTAGTTTAGCAATAGTTGATTTATTACTGGTTTAAATTCAATAGGCAATTGAAAGACCCCATAACTTGTTTTTTGCTGTTCACAAACCAAATTAAATTATAGTGTTGGTGCGTTGTTTTTTGGCATCTGTTATTGTGCGACTCTAAACAGACAGCCTAGTCCAAAGTTGATTAAAAAAGGGAAAAAAGCTAAATGCCCAGTTAACTGGGCTACCTAACGCCCGCAATTCAAACCCAAATATGGAGCACAAAAACATCAGATTTCAGGAAAAAGATGGTTCCGATGAAACTTCACAATTGCCTCCTTTAATTAACTGCGTTCCGTTGGCTTCCTTTTGTGCTTAATGCGTTACTTTTGAAAAAAAGTGACTTATTTTTAGTATTAATCGAACACGTCTCCATTCTCGCCTCATAACGTGTTCAACCTGCTAGAATTAGGGAAGATGGAAGTTTGCATAACAGAATTTGGCCGTTTAATAAAAGTAGCGCGTTTTACCTTCAAAAGTTGAAAAAGATATTTGACATTTAAATGTTATGCGTCAGACTTCTGAGAACATTCTCGACTGAGTCGAGATCTGTGGTATAGGGTGGTCTTATCTCCAGATGTGCGCAGTTTACCATTAATCTAAACGGAAACGTTATTACCTTAAACTACTTCAGTGTCAGATGTTATTTTGTTCAATTCATTTCTATTAATTCAGCTTCCGAATGCGAATGGATAAAGAAGTAGTGTCAAACCAGTATACTTGTTTTACATGAAAAATAAATAACCGAACCGACTAAACCAGACGCCACGAGAAAATATGCTAAGTGGATGCTTACCCGTTTTGTATATACAGGGGTAACTGATCAAGCTGATGAAGTTTATATAGAGTGAGGAGTCGTAAGAGTCGTCGTCTTTCCATCACAATATTTGACACTTTTGGACACTAAGTCACATTGTGCTAGTTCGAAAATCCCTTACTTGTCCAAAGAAAATTGTTGTGAGTCGTGTTGATACAAGGTCCCCTTTTTCGCAGCATGTCACCAGCCGCGTGAATCCTCAACTCTTCCTTCATTCACACGAATATCTATCTTGGAGTATCCCCTCACCTAGGTCTCGATGTTAGTGCATGTATGACCAACACGTCCGAGGTATAAATACACACGCGCGAACCCCACCCACGACACAACGACACCAACGTGGTTGAGCTCTGAAGTAAACGGCTGTGTCCACGTCCTCTTCGGTCTTTTTCTTTATCGCGGGTATCAGAGAAACGTAATCGAGCCAGGGTTAATTCAGTGGCCCCGGCGTGGTTCAAGACCACATGCCTGGCCCCCAACAAACTCATTAGCAAGTATATCACTTAAAAAATAACTCTTAATTGAAGGCAAAAAGCTTGACTCATGAAAGCTGAAATTCTTTTAATCGTTATCTTGCAAATATAATTAAGATTTCTATCAAGGACGCACGTAATTTGATGCTTACAATAATATAAAATATGATGCTTATATCAAAATACTACTAATCAAAATTGGGTTCAATTTCTTTAACTTATAATACTACGATTGAAAGCAGCACTAATAAACGCAGTAGCCGACTTTTCTATTGAAAACTTTTCAACAATAGACCAGATAAACAATTGGCCAAAGCAATAACAATCACAATTACATTATGCGCACAACAAGTTAAACGAGGGATTAGTTTGTGTGATTATTTTTTACAACGACAGATATCACAGCAAATAGTGCAGAATAAACCAAAATCTAGAACATCAGCGACGCAAAATAAACCTCCCTGATATCGTTAGAAGTGGAGGTTAAAATAGCTTGGTCCTGACACTGCCACAGTTTCTAATTTACGTAGCCAGCCAAACAGGGTGAAATCTGAGTCATTGATAGTGAGACACTTACATATCCTAGGAACAAAATCCAGGCAAGTTTCTATCTGATATCATAAAAGTTCTATAAATTAGGGAAAATTTGGCAGATGAATACCCACTGGTAATCTTCGATATAAGCACATATGTTAGCACGACTTATCTGGCATATGCAAAGGTTTTGACTTTGGCATGAGTGAAAGGAGAATCACTCTACATAATCTTTCCACCTTCTTTTATACCTGTTAAGGTCCTTGTTATGCCCATTTCCAGGTCCACTATTGCTCTAAACTACAATAAACCTAACAGATTTAAACCATGCCAGTCAAATGCTGGCATGAGATCTCGATAACTGGCAGCATAAACAGGAGGACAAAACCGGGCTGTTAGATGTGTTGCACAAAGCTGATAACACATCATTAAGCAATTTGACGCACTTGGTAAGTGTAGATCACGGAAATATTACCTGGCATTAGAAGTTACAGTGTAATTGTTCTCCTCATCCACTAGACTGTTCACAACACAGGTGATTTTTTCATAAGGCACCTGTTCTGCCTGCTCGAACGAGGGCTGATCCTCGGCTAGGTTGAGGGGAAATGCGCGCACGGTTAACCACGACACTCCCTCCTCCTGCGTATTGTTTACGTGGAAGGGAGGCTGTGGCAGTGGTCGATAGTCATCACCGCGGAACCAGGCGGCGATTTGCACCGGTCTGCCGGCTGATTGGGAGCCGTGAATGGGCCTGTAGACGCAGGCCAAGCGCGCCGGATAGCCCTCGATCAGACGCGGTTTGGGCTCAGCGAGAAGAGCCATTCGGTCCCGGTGAGAAGAGCTTTCGCGCTCCAGCCCCAGACTGCCGTAGATGGCTGAATAGTCGACGCCATTGCCACGTGTCTCTTGGTCGTAGAAAAGGGGCTCAGAGGAGGAATTGTGGAGCATTACCTTGACATTGATAGGCTCGTAAAGCGTCCAGTGTATTTCATAATAGGAGGGATGTCCTCGCTAAACAAAAAAATGTTTGTATGCACATACACCGACGACGTCTTGGGCTACAGTAGAGCAGTTTATTAAACAGTGTACTCCAAGCTCACTTTTTTAAGTACCAAGCTCAGCTACTCCTGTGCCAGCTTTTCTAGTGGACAGTTCTGCCAAAGTTTATCTTGATCATCGTAGACTTTTCCGTTAACTACAGTGTGCTCCCAGTCACGCATGCCATTAACTTTAAACCTTCTGGGTACTTAAACATGCAATCAGCTGGTAATAGTTTTGTAACACTCTTTAGTACGTAGCGACATTCAGATCCAAAGGAATATTTGAACTTATCTTTATTACTAAAAAAAGTCCTCCGATACTGTTATTAATTAATACTAAACATGCAATTTTACGGTCCCAAGTTAGGAAATAAGACATTCACTTCGATTTAAAAAAGATTAGCACTTTAAATGTAGACTTGTATTACGTGCGGACACGGTGGACACTTACGCGGTGAAAAACCTCAAGTTTAAGTTATTTTAAATATTTAAGCTAGGTTGGATGGAGTCTTATTACTAATTACTTTAGAATGACCGAAAAAGATGTTGTAACTAAGTTCCTAATTGTCACACATGGCTGCTAGCTGACCTTGCTATGCCACAGATCCTGCATTTCAAATTTACACCAAAGTTTGTTTGGTGCCTCTGGAGAAAATGGGTCGAGGATTCGAACCCATGCCAGACCAGGCCCAATTTCTACATTTTCATTAGAGAAAATTCCGGATTCGTTGAAGGAAACTGTTCTACTCGGAATCGCATCTCTTGGAAGAACGGCAGCCAGTTCTGAATCGGGTGGAATTGGTTCACGCCATTCCCAGGCAAGAACTTGTTGAGCATTTGTTAGAGGGCAGTAAAGGATAACCTACAATTAGAATTTATGGCTGCAGTACAGAGGCAAAAAATGTTCTGAGAGAAGGGAAGGTAAGTAAAATGGGTAAATTTTGGGAGGTACAAATTTCAAAACCATGACCGCAAAAATTCAATCAGTTTATAAAATATGTGACACAATTTACGCATTTACTTACTATGTTCTGGAGTAGAGCACATTCGTGTTGATTTAAAATTGCAAAAATCAAACCAAATTAGAGCCCAGAAGGAACTTTGAGGAAGTATCAATATGGTTAACAAATTCATAGTAGATTGATAAAATAGTTAATGCAGTAATTCTGTGCATGTCAGCAGCATGACGCTTAAAATCATGCATTTGATTCGCAATATACAGTCATATTTGAGTTTATACTTCTGTTACATGTACTCATTGATCACACTGTCATTATGCCTGAAACCACTGTGAGCGTGATCGATCGGTACCAGAGACGCACTACGAAGAACTTGCGATAGATCTGAGACATGGTATTTAAATGTTGTTAAAATCTAAAATTTTTTAATTTTTACGTTGTCGCAAACATTCCTAATTCTAACCTAAGTTCCGAAATGCCTAAAAAATATTCGTGATGATTGACTTCAAGCTGACGCTGAAAGCAAAATTAAACCTTTGCTAGAATAATAAAAAAATTGCACATTTCAATAAAATACTTTTAACGCACCTCGTCAGCACGGTCAGATGGAAACATCCTAAAAAACTTGAGCATACCAGCAGCAAGCGGCACGGCTGGAAGGCCATTGGTATGATTAACAGCGAAATGTTCTTTCGGATGGACACTAAGAAAAGCATCCTGTGTGTTGACATCACCATGACATCTATAATGTCCAGCATCCGAAAGGCTTGCGTTATCAATACGAAGAATTAGACGACCTCTACCATCTTGCATTGTATATACAGATGATGGAATATTTTGTTTAGTTGACATGAGGTAACTGGTCTGAATCGGACCTAGATTGTAGACAGAGTCAACCTTTTTCTTAAATTCACCTAGCGGTGGATGTGGGCCTACTTCTCTTCCTGATGCTTTGACGTCACTTTCGTAGGTCCATTTATTGCCACCATTGCAAACAAAATATGCATCATGACCCAGAAGCACAGAAACATTAGAAGCTGATTCCAAAAACACGTGTCTTCTTGAAATCTGTGACAGTACATGATGTACAGAAAGAAATGTAATAATGCATTTCAGAAGATTTTCCCAAATAACAATCTTCATTGATAAAACAACTTTCGCTTTTTGAAAAATCGGTGTTTTACCATGCATGAAAGTTAGTGTGCTTAAACACTCGGAGCAATAACATGAACCGAGGTAGAAAATTGCGTTTATAATGCCCTAATTTAAGTGCTATCAATAAAAAACGGTTTATTGTGTTTTAAATTGGCTCCGTGTTATACAAATGAGAGTATCTCGTGCAAAATCAATTCTTACTACTAAATGCACCGCAAAATTTTATGAGTGGACCATAACATAAATAGGGAAACAGTTAATATCTTAAATCTAGACAAATAATTGTTGAAAATGTTAAAACATTAAATGCGTGGCTTATATATTTCTGTTTCATGCAGGTCTGTCGGCGCAATGATGACGAGGATTTTCAAGTAATGGAGGTAAGATCGCAGACGAATGAAATGGGCTAATTTGCAAGATAGAATTGCTTTTTGTCAAAATGGAAATCTTTATAACGTTTTATTCTAAAGATCATTATTACCTTCAGTCCTAGCAGTTTGGTGATGATGACGGAAACTCTTTTTGGCATTTTCATGTTCGAATGGTAGAAGGTGGTTTCAGTGACTGAGAAACGCGGACTTGGAAAGAGGAAGTACGCTATGTTATTTTGTTTGTAATCTACCATGTTTATCTTTATGGTGGCGCCTGCTGACCCAAGTTATTATGGGACAAAATTTACACATCCGATTGTCTTGTCCCAACCAGTCATTTACTACGGTGCCAAAATTGGTAGTGGTTGATTATATAATTTCTTAAAAATAGGGAAGAATGACACAAGAAATTGTCAATGCACTTTATCGTACCTTTAAATGTGATCAAAGGAACAAAGTAGTAAAATAATTTTATTTTCGCCAATAATGTACCACCCGGATTTGTCGTGGCAGTTTCCCTACACGTAACCTTATATAAAGCCAAATCACATAAATATATCACTTAATTTTCTATCGATTATGACTTTTATACTTCGTTTGGTTTGCGTTTTTTTAGATTATTGTTCCGATTTGTTGACGACTGCCAAAGAAAATGATACTTGATCCTTTAAATACCTAATTTATTTAAGTTGTAAAGCATCTGACCACACAGTTGCATATGAACATGGAAAAGCTTAGTGACGACCAAAACACCTTGAATGAACAAGGTTACGATAGTTTATGAATGATTGTGTTAGGGGTGAGTAAGTGCGACTTAAGATTAACTGCTTCATTAGATTTATTTCCTAATAAAATTGCTCCATTCACTCATGCGACTGTGAGAAACTAGCTAGTTGCTTACAAAATTGGAGAAGTTATATTCTGAAACCGAGTAGCCTCTCCTAAATCATGTAGCTTCCTATTCACCTTCACAGTGTTTGTTTAGTCCATATAAGTACCGTATTGTGTCCTTGAATACTGCTTGCACAATAATCAGCTTCCAAGCATTATCATAAAGTCCTTTTTAAATTGTTGTATATCCACAAGTGACGCGTTTATATAGATGTTGATAAAGTTACCAGTGCAAGAGATAGTCTTCTAGCCGAGTGTAGATAATCGAGACTGGTCGTGAGACTAGCTGATTTATCAGTAATGGAATTGCGAAGAAAAGTTTTTTGTACTTTGCTCATCAGCACTACTGACAAATTTAAAGGCTAAGTCCCATGAAGAAACTTATATTTGTTGACAACTGTATCAATGGTGAAATTCCAGGCTTAATCCTATTCGATCAAATAGGATAGTTTCAATATTAATCACAGTGATCTTAAGTAGCTGTGGTTCAAGTTTGATAAAGCTTTAATTAAATGACAAGGTGATAAACGCTGACTAGGATGTCGCTTTACTCAGATATAATCCATGCATCAGAAAAAAGCGTAAAATTCGTGAGATTTGCCTTCACTCCTTGACATTATCAACTTAGACATTTAGGCAAGTAATAAGAGAGGCTTGCTATAAAGTGCCTCCATGGCGCCATAAAATCAGACGAAATGTTTTTTTATCATCAAGTTTTGAGTGACCAATCCCTTGAAGGTAGCTGACAGGCCATATTTGAAGATCCCATCGGCAAAACATAATTGTTCAAGCATTGAAGTTTGCGTTACGAAAACTGACACTACACTGTATTTTGCCCCTGAGTTGGAATTCTCCATCTCATGGGCTGCTTCATGGAAGGTAGGCCAGAATGGATCGAAACAAAGAAATGCCACTGTTGTTTTCGGAGGTGATAGTGATATCTGAGACCCTCCGGAATACTGGTGGCTGTGTACTTTTGTTCATAGTCCACAGAGCTAGCCCGTATGTTAAAAAGTGAAGACGAGGACGCCAAGAACTCTCGTCTGGCATATATGTTAATGCAAGCGCCCTTCCTTCGTGTCCGAGATCTTATACTGCTATTTGTAAGGACAGTGAATAATAAGGTTCCAAGCTTCGAAGTGCTAACAGGCAGTAAAAAGAGTCCTTTGCGCTGTGTTGGTGTTCGGTGCCGATCTGTCTCTCGTCTGGTCGTGATTACTTAAGGGACAAACGGGTTAGAATCGGAGATTGTGGTAGATTGCTGAAAGTCCTTAACGCTGGTTCAACTATAATCCACACGTTGGACTGTCCCGGAGTCGTGTTGCTAGTACTGCAGTGGACGCACTCGTTAAGGATTTCGTCGATCGTCATCGATGGTTTCGACTCGAAAAGACTAAACAATTACTTCCTGAAGTCCACAAACTTTAAAGATTAAGTCGCTCCTCTGACTCCTCTAAAATTTGCAATTGACTCCTATTATGGGTTTTTGATACCAGTTTCGTGTTTAAAACACGGAGAAGAGTTACCTAAGTAGTCATTCAAAGTTTATGATAGAATCCTCAAAAAAGTGTTAACTTATGGTTTTGGGAAAGATGGTGTGGTAGTTCCTCATCAGCTCCGCTGAATCACGTTTGCGAAGCAAAAAATATACCCTCGATAATCACCGAAGCAAGGTCAATTCAAAGGACGCGGGGTTCATTCAAAGGTATATTATCGTAAGCCGAATTCACGTTCGTCGTCACTTTGACGACTCAAACAGAAGTACAATACGAACCAACTGAGGGGAAACTCAATTATCCACGGAGGAGATTTTCCACC